AACCCAGGTGCAGGACCTTGCACAAATTGTACAACCTTGTACAATTAAGTGGCACTATCATAAGCAGATAATTAGCCAAGAGGTCAGCAAAAAGGCCTTCCAAGAGCAAGAACAGTGACAATATCTAGAAAGAAATACCTATTTCAGCACTTGCACAATCAGTTTTCAGAAAGTAAAAGGTTTGTATGAAAAAGTGACAAAGCGAAATGAAGGAAAGAAAAAAATCCTGCAAAAAAGGATGAGAAAGAGGTGGGTGGCAAGTCCCAAAGGCTGGCATTAGGCTTGGGAGGCTCATCTTCCTGTGCTCCCCTCCAGCCAAAGAACAGTAAAAAAAGAAAAAAAAAAAAAATCTCTGTTCCTAACTCTTTCCTAGGTGAAGCTTCCCTGCACCTGCAGGTTTACCTCCCAGAATTGTTTACCAGAACAATTTACAGGAGCAGAAAAAACATGGGGAAATCAATAAGATGTCAAACTTTCTCTGTTGAGACTGAAAAAAATCCAGAGAGTTTCAAACAATACCTACTAAATGGGGGAAGGGGCAAAAATAAAGTCAGATTTTAAAGGTATTTAACATCTTGCCACAGAAATGAGAAGTGCCATCTCTCCTGCCTGAGGCATCCTGGGAGTGTTCCAAGTCATCATCAAAGCAAATATGGTAATGAGTTGGTCAAAACACTGCATTATGGCTCTCATTCCCACCAGCTTTTACAACTTACTGTCCTGCTCCCACAGATGCAGTACAGGTTGATGGGAGAAAGCAACAAATCCCAACATGGCTAATGCCTCCAGAATCGTCAGCTGGAAGTTTAGCTCTGCAGTGATTTTGTATACTCCAAGTAGACGAGGCCACAACTCTGAGTACTTGCTAAATTACTTTCCAGTGATAAGCTTCTGCAAAAACAAGTTCAGCAACAGCAGCCACGCATCCCCTGCTGCTGACACGTTTCCATGTGAGAATGCCTGCCCTACACATCTGCACCCACACAGTGTCTTCGAAAGCAGCAGCATGGAAACCCACTCCCCACAACCCAATGACACAGTGCAAACCAGTAGCTGATCTGCAATAGGATCCCCAAAACAACGAACATATCACCGTGCACCAAAGCTTTCCACTTGTTTGGTTTTTAAAGACAATCCAGTTAACAGAGGAGTCCTAGTTCTGACAGTAACCCTAGTCTGAAGTTAGCTTTGCCATCGATGGCAACACTAGGAATGAGACAAATCTGTTGTCACACTTTCATGGCACAGAAAGGGCTGAGAAAAAGCTTCTTTGATAAGAACTTCAGGTTGTGAGCTTAAAAAAAAAGAATATATATATATATGCAAGCACATAATAGATTTCCACACCTTCTTTGATTTTTTTTTGTAAATATAGCAAAAATACTAAAAAATGCTCATATTTTAGAAAAGCAAAAATCAGAACAGACAAGCAGAAAAAGCTAGAATCTGGGGAAATAAAAATTAACCTTCTCTTTAAGTGCAAAACTGAAAAAACAGCCAGTAGAATACCACCACACAGATGCAAACAAGGAAAATACCAAAAGTTATTTTCAAAGGACAAATTGCGATCTTAAAGCATCTCGTCAAAATTTCTCAACATAAATAATGGACTTTTATTGTTCATTTACTGCAAGGTTAGGCAGCCTGATATGATGGATGAACTGTCAACCCCCAACTAAACTTCTACAATCCATCATGGAAAGAGAAATTTCACTCAAAGTGTCAATAAACCTAAATGATGAAGTGCAAAATACTTTACAGAGTTCTGATCATTTTTTTAGAACCTGTGTTCACTGCAAAAATTTCAGAAACAATGCTTTTCCCCCCACTTCCCTCCCCTTCTCCCTGGAAGTGATAAAATGCAGGTGTACATATTGATTTAGAAGTCAGTGATACCCATAGAATGATAGAACAGAAATGAAGTTCTCATAAAGGTCTAGCACCAGGGAAGATGATGTTTACAAAATAAGCTATTTTAGACCACCCAAACATCAAAGAGATCACCAAGATTTTTCTTTAAGTAATGAGTTATTCAAAAGTGTCCTGTATTGAGTTTGCGTGGCAATGTTTCAGTGTTGAGGGGGACACTGCAGTGATGGCTTCCGTGAGAAGCTGCCGGAAGCCTCCCCTGTGTCTGACAGAGCCAACGCCAGCCGGCTCCAGGACAGACCCGCTGCTGGCCAAGGCTGAGCCCATCAGTGACGGTGGTACCTCCTCTGGGATAACATGGTTAAGGAGGGAGGGAGGGGGAGCGGGGCAGAACTTCATCCAGAGAAAGGAGTGAGAATGTGAGAGAGCTCTGCAGACCCCCAGGTCAGTGAGAAGGAGGGGGAGGAGGTGGTTCAGGCACCAGAGCAGAGAGTCCCCGGCAGCCTGTGGTGCAGCCCATGGTGAGGCCAGCTGTGCCCAGCAGCCATGAAGGGCCATGGTGGAGCAGAGAACCATGGAGGACCCCACACATCTTTATTTCCAAAGTCATCCACACCCTCACATCAAGTATGATGAATAAAAATACTTGGGTATCTTCCTTTATTTATCTTAAAAAATGGAATACAAAACACAACATAAATTGCATGCACCCTTGTAGAAAAAAAATAGGGAGCAGTTTTCATTAATCCCAAAAATCAGCATTTGTTTTCTCTTAACTACCAGTTACTGAATGACCAGGAAAAAGAGTCACAAACTGAACACGTATTTATGTAAATTCACTCTGAACAATGTAGGCACAACTTCAAAAAAGTGTTTGAAAGATGCCTTAGTACTGAGTTTTCAATTAATTCTATAGCTCAGAGGGAAATCTTTTTCTTTTCTTATTGACTAGTGCTTGCTAGACAAACAGCACTCAGTTGAGTGAGATGAGACTCAGATTTGCTGAAGACTCTTCAATTTAATGCAGCATAGTCTGTAATACCAAAATGAATAAGCTTGTGTTTGCTGTAATTACAACTTCCCTCCAATCAAATTCTACAGCCTTTCTAGAATTAGTGTTCTGAGTAAGTCAGTATTTTCACATTATGTGAGTAATGAGACTTGCATATAACAGATGCACTGAAACCCCTGGTTATCAGATTCAGATTCTAACGCTGTATTTGTTCCTCCTGAGTCTTCACACGTAAAGTTCCCGAATTTCCCTGTTTGAAAACTGGTTGCCATAGGAGTGGCTGTATGTATTACATGACCTATAGTCTACCTTTCCCACATCTATTTTGGGTTTCACTCTTCACTACACTCAGAAAATCTCTTCTGAGATTAGTGACAGCGTCATCCTCTAGCACAGCAGTAACAGCTGTAACTCTTATTTCAGAAAGTGGGCTAGAGAACAGAACAGCAGGACCCCAGTGCTAAGGCTCCTTAGCCTTCTCTTTCCTCATCGACCTGTATTATACGGAAACATTATTACTGGAGTTTTACACACATCTGTCTTTAGAGAAAGGGCTCATTTGACATCTCTGTACTGCAGAAATGAATGTCTCAAGGCAAGGACTGATGATAAATGAAGATTAATTAACACATTGTCTATTAGTCCGATGCCATACTGACCATATATGAAGAAACTTGTCTTACCGTACACTTTGTGCTCATTGTAATGGTCAGGGTGAAATCTGAAGAGAATTCCAAGTCTGGGGTAGATGCAGTATTACAGTTGATATGCTGCCAAAAGGAATAACACAGGTCAGTCACTAACACTGCTGCATTTAAACCGAGATCTTCCTTTGGATGAAGGTTGTTCGGTTGCTCCCATAAGACAAGTTCTCTAGAACACCACCAACTCAGCTCTCCAAAAAATGGGAAGAGACTTAAAAATCACCTAATCCTGTTTGCACGCTGAAAAAAAACACCTCAACCCCTCTTCCCCAAATGCCACACACCGACTAGTATCAGTATGGAATAAGATATATTAGCTCACTTTGTTCAAGAAAGTTGCTCTTGATGGCAGCTGCCCATTGTTGAGATTGTCGCTTTCACAGGCATCCTCACCTGTTTTACTCCTTGCTCACGCAGCCACAGGGCAAACTACAGTATGGAACCAATTCTGAGCTTTTTTCATTTTCCAAGTTAGTTTCATACTGAACACGGAATATTTGAGGTTGAAAGGGACCTCTGGAGATCAGCTGGTCCACTACAATCCCCCACCCCCCCCACAACCCCCGATCAAACACTGCTCAGGACCATGTCCAAACAGCTTTTGAGTATCTCCAAGGACAGAGACTCCACAACCTTTCGGGCCAACCCACGCCACTGTTCAATTGCCCTCGCCATAAAGACATGTTTCCTGATCTTGAAAGGCAACCGCCTCGAGCTCGATCTGTGCCTGTTGCTTCTTGTTCCTGCCCCTGAGGATCACTGAGAGGAGTCTGGATCCACCTCCTTCACTCCCCCCACCAACAGGCATTTATAGACCCTGATAAGGTCTATCACTGAACCTTCTCTTCTCCAGACACAACCACCCCAGATCTTCCAGCCTCTCCCTGTATCACAGATGCTCCAGTCCCTTCATTGTCTTTGCAGTCTAGCAGCAGCTACTCTGACCAAGTACAATAAAATATCTGTAAAAACCATATGATAAATTGGAACATTTTTAAACTTTTCCTCAAAAATGTAATCCATTCGTTATGTGGAAAGGCTATTGATTAAAACAATTTACCTGTAATGCCACTGCTGCTCAGCTCATTAATTTTACTGCTTCGTACTGTAACTCCAGCAAACAAGCTCAAGCACTGACTTTAGGTTATTTTAAAAAACGTGATTGGTACTGAGAAGAAATAAGTATAAAACCATTAAGTGTAACAGTTATGCAAAATGCTGCGCGATGACAAAGTTTGCTAAGCGTGTACACCCGAACTGGACAGTGACTGCTCATGACAGTATATATTAGAAAGGGACATGTACTATTACCAGTAAAGCATTTTGCTTCTAAAAATGACAGCAGCTTATAGACTGCATTGGACACATTTAACTGCAGTTATTGTTATCAACACTTTCCAGGTTAGGATGTTGCATTAATTTATCTGTTTGCCTAACAAGCTGACAGAACTCAACTTATCCATGCAGCTGTTAGTGCACCTTACACGTTCTTCATTTTCCATATACCAAACCTGACTTATTTGCAATAAGTCTTCAACGACACTTGAATCAGAACATGTTAAGTACTATGAAAACTGTCAGGTGAGAGAAGCACCTATGCCTCACGCGCTGCGCAATCAGCTCTGTCAGATGGCTAACTGTGGCCTCAGATTCTTCATCTCGGTACGTGTTTTGTGCACATTCATTCACCAAGGACAGAATTTATACTCCCTATAAACACAGGTCTACAAAGTATGTTTCAACAGAGTTGATCACTCTACCCTCTCCTTATACTCATGGAAAACAGATAGTTGTAAGCCTCAAGTCACACTTATTATAGGCGTGCTTAAGAACTTTATTGCACTGACTCTAGACAGAGTCTAGTCAACAAACTCAGAGGATAAAATATGACACATCTGTAATGACTGCATTATTTATGAAGACAGAACCCTGAAGTAAATTAACGGGAAAAATAAGTAGAGATGCTCAGGAAGGCCAAAATAGTTACTAAAGAAATATCAATCTCAGCACTTCTTACATTTGAATACCTAATTTAAAAAACTTAAAATCTTCTCTGGAGTAAAGTTAGAGACAAGAAAAGCTTGAACAGTAACTTGCATTGAGATATACTTATAACAAAACTATACTTCACCTGTTACTGCTTATGTGGGCAGGATGACAACTGACCACAGAGAATACTTTCTGTGCTGGAAGAGACTGGAACTACCAGCAGCAATGGTATCAAGTTCAGTGCTGAATTATGTAAAACCATTTTCTTCTATATAAAAATAGGATAGGATTGCATTTAAATAGAAATTACCTCTTTACTGCACAGGCAATTCCCACTGAAGGGCAGTAATATTACTGCCTTCAGTATTTTACAATAGAAAAGTAACTATATGAACAGTAATTACAATACCTTTGTGACCAAAAATCCTGGTTTATAATTCTCTCAATTTGATCTGAACTGTTCAAGTTATTACTAATCACAAAGTTCGTCAGAATTTCAAACTCAGTGTTCTGGAATTCCATCTGTCATGTAGGTGTTCTCTCGTATGAATCACTACGACAGCTATTGGATGCTATTCCCTGTTGCAAAGCTACCATAAAAAGAGACACCACAGAAAAGCAATCATAACATTAATTCAGTGAGTACTGCAGAAACTACTGGTGCCTTTTCAGACATGGTCATCCTGTTGGATGAAGCTATGGGTGACAGTGAGTGATCCTCCGATGACAGATCTTTAAAAGCCAGCCCGCTTGACACAGAAGCGGGTAAGAAGCCCCCATGCAACTCAGTACACTGAGCGAAGTGAAGAGGGAAGCCAAGTCTAAGACAAGACTCTATATTCCTTTTTTATTTTTTCAGTATGGTTTAAATTTCAGCTACACAACTCGTAACTTACTAAAACGCAAGTAAACTTGGGTTTGGGTAGAAGAAAACAGAGCAGAAAAATCAAAATACAGGAAGATTAGTTTAAGAGCCCAAACCTAGTAAAAAACCACAATTAATGCAAGTCTTACAGTCTTAACACCAAAAACCTCATTTGTATCATTTTGAAGATGTCAAAGTTCATGTTTGCAGGTGTGGTTTTTTCCCCTCCTCCATAAAAAAAAAGGAAACTTCTAACCCAACTACTAAAAATTTTAAAAGTATGGTACCTTAATGACACTGGCTGTAGATATCAGTGTGTTTGGATCCAGCACCTCCACAACAGCTTCTGGAATTACAGCCTTCTTCATACAGGACATGTCAAAGCCATATACATCTTCCCAGAAGAGTAACTTATCCACGTGTTTATTCATATCCCCAACAGCAACTAGGCTAATGGTGCAAGCGTCAGGATAAACTGTAACAACGGACACAGATTAGTGAGATTTTATTTTAGTCACACAAAGAAAATTTCTTCTTTTTCTTTTCTCTGTAAGTGATTAACAACTTGAAAGAACAAACAGAAACTTCTTCCACCTCCTGGACAAGACACTTTTTCTGCTACCTTATTTTCTGGAGTCCCATTTGTCCACAGAAGAGACAAAAAGCTGGAACTTTACTTTCCTGTTCACAACAAAAATATCTTTGTAGCTGTAGTTTTCAAATACCTCTGTAGTTGAATTCCACTGACTAGAAATGACTGGAAACTTCATGTCTGAAGAAAATAATTTGGAACATCCTATTCTGGCTTCTATACAGAGACTGACCTAAAAATGTATTTAATAACTGTAGGCACCCAAAGGAAAATTCAGGTGAGGGCTTTGCAATAACAAAACACCTCTCTGAAAACACCTTACTTCCAGAAAAGAGCAAATATTCTTACCCAGGAGTTTTATTCCTGTTTCTTATCAGCTCTGGCTGGTACTTGCCTTACAACCTAAAAAGTTACTTCTGAGTACTGGAATCTATATGCATCTGACAAGTATGGAGGTGATCCAACAGCCAGAAGACAACTTTCTCATCGATTCCCCCCACAGTTTTAGCATGACAGCTATCATTCTTTTACTATCTTCCATTTATGCTTTCCCTTCTCCCAAAAGTACCTTCAGAACAAGAACCTCTTGATGGCTTTTCCAAACAGAGTGGAAGACTGACATTTGCCTTTTTAAAAGCTGCCAACAGCCAAGCCAGTCAATCTCTCGCCAGTCTCTACCCACTATGGATTTGGAAAGACACAAAGAGCAGCTGCTATGAACATGGCTGTTTATAGCACTATCAAATACTAAGAGAAGCTCAATTTATTTTTAGCTAGGTTTCTTTCCACAAAGAAATTCACATGTTTTGTTTTTAGAGTTTTAAAGCCTTTAAAGCCACATACGCTGAATTCTTGATCTAACTTCAGAGCAAAATGACTCCTAATAAACACCTTATTTTATTTTTTATTGATATATTAATGTGGCAATGCTAATAAAGCTGAAGCTAAGTGTCTCTTTTCCTCCCCAAAAGCCTGGTGAACTGTAAAATTAATTTTGTCTTTAGCTCTGCTTGAAATGGTAGCTTATCAAAATGAGTATGGAGAAGTCATTGGTACAGCCTGGTAAGTCAGAAAAGCAGTATTTATAACAGCAGCCTTGTAACATACCGAAGATAGAAAGAGCAAATTGAAATTAGACCTTTTATATAGTGGAGTAGATTCAGCCTCAAGGAAATAAGATTATACATTTTAATGATAGAGTCTTCTCTAAAGAAGCTGCTTTTCCCCCTCCCCTGTATGAAGATATTAAAGTAATCATCTTTACATTAATGACTAGTTCATACAAAATATGAACACACTGTCATTTTTTCCTCACTTTGACTGTTTAAAACAGAATAAATAAATAAATATCAGCAGGCGTAAATTGGAATCCCGTCAGTAAGCCATCATCAATCCTCACTTTGCAGATGAGGAACTCAAAGGAGAAGGTTTCTCCAGGAACAGCCTGCAATTAACTCAGCAGTAAAAAGGCAGTTTGATGAGCATCAAAATAGGAAGGCATTCAGACTGCCTGGTCTGAACCAAATCATGTGGTTCCAGCACACCTGACAGCTGTCATACACACACAAAACATCAACATCTGGTGGTAGGAGCACTTGCAAGTGGTTTCTGGAGTCATCAACATGGGATTTCCATTTCTCAAAGCATTCATATTGGTGTTTACTAGTGTGACAATTGCATTATATTCAGCTTTATCTTCCGGCATTTGAAACCTTCAACAGCCACCACTGATGCTTCAAAAATTGAAAGTGTGAAACAGACAAAGGCAAACGACTACAGCCTCTGAGGGAAGATTTTGCAGGGAAATGCTCCTCATAGGATGTAAGGGGTATGACAAGAAGAGACAAAGTCCCTAGTTACAGAATACACTTACAGGAACCTAACAGTGACCCTGCAAATAAAAATGAAAATCACAGCAAAAAGTGATCAACTACCACATAATCTCCCTCCTTCAGACTTGCCCACATTTCTGGGACGTTCTGTTAACTGCAAAAAGTTTACCACATCTATCAAGCATGAAATATTTGACGGGAACTGTAATCAGTTTTCATTAAATATCTTTGTCCACACAGCAAACCCTTAAATCAGCAGTGGAACTTGTGATTGATTACACAAAGTGCTTTAAGAACAAGCAAAAATGTAAACACTAATGCCCTAATCTAACCTGCAGTTTTAGTTTAGCATATCAACATCAACAAAAACGAGTAGACAATGCCTGTTCAGACTTCATGGAAAGAAATCTGTGTTCTGCCAACAGGGCACAGGCAAAAGACTACAGTGATACATTAACTTCCAATTTTACAAACCCACCCATGTCCAGAAGCATATGGTATACTGAAGTTTGGCTGAAAATGTAAGCATGTTATCTAAGCATCAGCCTAAATCACCTAAACGCTGTAGTGTTTTGTAAGTGTTTAAAAGCATCTGCTTAAAATTGTATTTCCCGTTTCACCCACTATCCTCCATCCTCCTGGAAATCCTCTCCTCTTTCCACAACCCTGTAAGACTTCCCTGTGCAACCCTGACAGACTTGTCATTTTTTTCTGATTAAGCCTATAATTTAATAATTATTACTTCTCGCAGGCGAGACGAACAAAATGCTGATTGGACAAAAGCACACACTCCTCAACCCTCTCTCAGATTCATCGCTTTGACCATCTGTGTCCTTCTCGACTCAGTGCCCAGAAGTCATCTGTCACTAGTAACAGCTCACGTGGCGAGCAGAATACGATGGGAAATCCTTTATCCCTTAGCAATGCCTCACAAACTTCAGGATGCTGAAGAGTTAGGCATCAACCCACCATATACAAGGAAATAATTCCAAGTGAATATCGTCAGCATTTCGACATGAACAAGCAAACAGTATTACGTTCCAAATGATGCTTTCCTTACCTACGTCACCTCTCACCAACGTGCACTGCACTCAGGTGCATGCAAAAAATCTATACTCAAGTACGTAACAGCTCTAAAGACCAAACAGATGGGTCCTGGGCAGCAAGAATTTTATGTTGCCAAATAAAGCTATTATATACTGTACACATTACCCTAGACAGTTTGGCATAACCCCCTTCAGCATGCCAATAGGCTAAATCGCACTAACGACGATATGACTGACTGAACACAAATCTAGAAATTTGGATTCTATTCCCAGCTCAATCACTAGAAGATCTGGACAAAATCGCAGCTGCCTCTATTGCTTTTTTCAGCTTTCCAACAGTCCCTGTAATAATGATGTTGGGCTCAATCATACAAAGTAGCTTGAGACAAAATTAAGCCTTATGACATGTTCAGGGAGTTTCTCTGCTAGGACTTCACCTCAGAATGAGCTCTTCCTTTTGGCTCATCTGCATTCGGACGTGCCTACAGCTCTGCTGCTGTTCACTGCAGAAGTGCCTGTCCTGCTGAGCTGACTGCTGAGCAGCTTTGGCAGGAATCTCAGGCACAGCCATTTACCTGCTATACAAGCTGGCAGAAGAGCAGCAATTGTAAACGTCTTAAGGAAACAGCGTTCCATTTAAAATCTGGCTATACCAATCGGCAACTGTATAATCCTGTATGCTTTCTGGAGAGTCAAATAAGGGTCCAAGATCATTCTGAGACCAAAAAGTGTAAGTGCACTGCAGAACGAGCATACAGTCTCCTAAAGGGAAACTGGGGAGGGGTAAGCCACCAGCAAACTTACCAACAATACAAATAGAGAACAAGATTCTATCAGTTTGAACAGAGGTCAAGAAATTCTGGCCCTTTCCAGAAGACTGTGGAAGTAGTAGGTGAACATAAAACGACTCCTTACAATTCTATGAGATGTCCTTAAATTCAATTATATTTATCAGCGTATGTCTATACAGAGCACACCACAACAGTGGTTCCAGATCGGGATGGACTATTCTACATTACTGAAAACAAAGAAGTCTGTCATTTTGTTCACATTTTAACACAATAACAGTTATCTCTAGCTTGTATATTCAGCTTTGTGACCAAATGCTGAACAATGGCATAAAACCCCTTTTTTCCTGCTGCACTCTGTGGCACACAAAAGCTCACTGCAATCAGAGGGAAGCACTGCAGTGAGCACTGTTACACAGTCATTAATCCAATCATTAAGTCAGTGTAGTGAAACTAACTATGTGCATGGTTAGCACAAAAGGGGAAAAAAAACCCCAGACTGATGGCTACGATGGAAAAGGTCAATACGAAATACAATACTGACACAGGAATTAAGCACAAGGAATAAAGCATATGCAGAACTCGTGCAGAAAACTGCATCACATGAGGAATAAATATTTACAGGCATTGAAATACTGCTTAAGATGACAGTACCTAAGCTACTTAAAGGGGTAAAAGAACCCTACTTCAAAATACAACATTTTTGTTCTATCGCTTCCCTGTCCTTCAACCAGGAAAAAGGGTATATTCCCACCAGAACAGGTGAACAGAAGGAATGTAAATCCATTAGTTATTTTATGCGGCTTCTTGCCTTTGAAACTACATCCTTCGCAAGCAACTTCCCTCCTCCAGGAAAACATCCTATCGACTTTTCCTCTAATCCATCGTAGCTTACTCAAACAGCATCACATCTTACAGATTAAAACTTGTTTTCCTCTGTTGGTAGTTATGCAGAGATTTCAAGAGGGGAAAAAAAATGCCCACGTGTGTGGGAAGAAATAAGGAGGAAAAATTTAAACTGTACTTAAGGATAAACAAACCCCTCCATTCTTAAACACCATCAACTTGAGACCTTGATACCCCATCTAATGTTCTTCTATTACCCATACAGTAAATTAATGCCTTGCAGCTCTTACTAATGGAAACATTTTTCATTTAGACTGCCAACTTTCTCATCCATGCATAGCTTATTCTAAGTCTCCGAGTTCATTCGGTTTCCCCCCAGAGCTAAATTTATTAAAAGAATTATGCATACCAACCTGAGCCTCCCTCTGCCAGGTACTTGTCCTTTGCATAGATGACAGAATCCAGCATTGACTCAAAGAGAAGGAAATAACCCTGTTTTACAGAGAAAAGAAAGAATTTAGAAATCATTATGCTTCTCATCTGGCCAGTTTCCATAGGCTTATCTCCAGAGAAGGCTTTATCAACAAAGTTAAGAACTTTATATGCCTGCACACCTCTGTAACAGCCAGCAACCAGTGAATTTCTCCACAATAGCACTGTCACTTCAAGACTTTAGTAGGATGAAGTATCATCTTTAATTTCTCAAACTGCAAATAAGAAGCACCTACTGTATTAATGAACTCTGGGCAATAAATACGCAATCTACACCAGCACTTACCTGATAGCGTTGTACAACATCAGAAGTCAAATTCAACTCAAACCAAATGAAATGCTGTATATATTGATTTGACAATAATAACTGAGACACCACACACAAAAAAACCCCAAGAAAATCTGTCCCACTTAGAACCACAAGTAACAATCAAAATGACTGTCATTCTACTTAACACCAAGTAGAATTTTTCCGACTTCACATGGGCGACTTTGTGGTGCCCTGTACCAGCTTGGGCAATGCTCATAGCCAGCTGGAAATCAATCCCACAGCTACGACATGGGTTCTCCGGGTGTTCTACATCATTTAGCAGCATCTCTACTTCAAACATTCTCAGGATGAAAATGGTTAGAACTAGATTTGTGTAGGTTTTTTTGGTGTTGGGATTAATTTTATAGCAGGTTGATCATACTTACATAGTTGTTCAGAATCAAATCATACCAGCATACATTCTGGATTTTCCCTTAGCATCCTAACTCTCACTTTCCTTAACACACAGCTTAGCTACATGGCCTGATTTATATGCTGGTTGTCAGTAGGAAAGAACAAAAAAAGACAACTAGAAGTCTAGACTTCTGGGTGTGCAGTTCTACAAGCCCAGTCTGCAGTAACTAAACAAAGCAAAGCTAAGATTTTCTTCTTCATCTTTCCTACACCTTCCTATTTGTAGAAGCAGACATATTTTTCAATTTTACTTTATTTTTGAGAGCATCATGCCTCACAGCTGAGGACAGACAGCATTGCATGGGAACTGCACTGCTAAGGTACCAAGTTTATGCCACCTTGGATGTTTATTTTGCCTAATGCTCTTGGAACAAAAAAGAATCACAGAATGGTTTGGGTGGGGAGAGCCCTAAAAGCCCATCCAGTTCCAACCCCCCTGCCATGGGCAGGGACACCTTCCACTAGACCAGGTTGCTCCAAGCCTCATCCAGCCTGGCCTTGGACACTTCCAGGGATGGGGCATCCACAGCTTCTCTGGGCAACCTGTCCCAGTGCCTCCCCACCCCCTGCGGGAAGAACTTCTTCCTGATATCTAATCTACACCTCAGACACTGCAAGTCCAAAATCACTTACAAACATTGCCATCCACACTACAGCCTTCGGAACTATAAACAAAACCTGCAACCTGAAGCATGACGGACCTGTATTCAACCAGAGCATAGTCTGAGAATAATGGAAATGCCCTTTTAATCAGCCAGTTTCTGGTACCAGGACAGTGCTCTAATGGACACTTTTCTTCCAAACGTTGCCTGTTCTTCCACTTTACTGCCTAACTTTTATAAAGCCTTTATTCTAAGTCCCAGAACTTAACGCTCTGTGAGCAATATGATCTTTCCTAAGCTTTACAAAATGGCTGAAAAGGCCAGAAGCTCCAATCCCAGCAGGCAGAGATGATTTTATGCCTACAGCAAGCCAAAGGCATAGAATGGAACCAGTTTTCTTTTTTTCAGTCTTATTACTGCGGTTTCAAAAATAGAGTACGTTTGACCCATAAAAGATTATTTTCAGATGCTTTTAACAGAAAATGAGTTGTTTTTACAGCATTTTAAATGTGACCTCTAGGACCTGTCTGAAGAGGAGTTACCAGCAACAGTATAAAGTGACATTGGTACAGATCAGCTCTTCACTCATTTCTGCCTGCCTAAAATGACCATTACCTACAATGTCTGTCAATCAAGTGCAAAAAGTACAGCTGGAAGACACACCCCTTGACATGAGAAATAAAGTGAAATTCTCACTGTCCTTTCCCTGACCTTTCCACTCCGGCATCACTGGTTCTCCCACCCTCTCCCAGTTCCACCTCCCCCCCACTTCATTACAGCATCCCTGTAAGTTACATAAACCGTCAATGGTACAGGATCAAGTCATTTATTACTTATACCAAAGCATTTTGCTCACTGTGCTGTGCTCATCTGTAGTGTAATTTAGAATGTAATTTCACAGGCTGCTGCCTCACCTGTAGGGATGCCATCTGGAAAGTGAATTATACCTGACGCCTTTTCCCCATGATGCTGTGGGGCACTCTTGCTTCCACCCCAATCATGCTCAGGGTTTTTTTCTTAATCGTGTATTAGCATCCTCAAAATTAATTACTGCAAAGAGATCTCCAGGATATAAACCTGTGAGCCAAATATTAATAATTCAATCATGCTAGTGGCTAAACTAAGACACATGAAAGGTGACAGGATTTCTGTTAAAGACAAAGTGAATACGAAGCACACCTAAAGTGTCATATTATGCACTTTCTACTGAAAAGCTGGCCATTTCTTCCTCAAAAATGAAGTTTCTTATTTCCCTATTTTAAAAACGGAAATGAAATGACCCTTCTACAGCTAACAACAAAAACATACAAACAGATGGACAGGAGCAGAAAGACACAGCACCACGCAGTTACTCCGTTCAAGCAAATACCTGTCCCACATCATGTCCATCCAAGAAGTCAGCTGTCAAAAACGTGTAAGCCCACTGACAAACCTGAATCCAGAGGTATGTGAATATCACAATGTTTCTTACATATCCCTTATATCATTATTTTAACAGAATTCTAGAAGGATCTCAGAACTCTCATGGTTTAATATACTGAGTTGTTAAACTTTGTTATTCAGATATACTACACACTCTAAAATTTATTTTCATTTTAGTTTAAAACTACATAAGAATATTTTACCAATAAATGAAAATGTAGGTATAGGAACTCCTTTTAACATCGTTCATCATGTTTTTCATGGGGAAAAAGAGATTAAGCTCTTTAAAAGCATCAAGATGCAAGACCAACACTGATTTTTAAAACAGACTTGATTGTGTGGAGAGAACTAAAGTAAACACATTAGAACACAAATTACTTCAGGTTAAAAATGCCTCGTCATGTACATCCCCCTATTCTGTTCTTATCAAATACCTTGGTGGAACTTGGTTTTGCCTTCATTTATTTTCCACTTCTTGGTGAAGCTATACATATATAACAATTACCTTCAAAAAGTGGTATTAGCATGTTCACAATAGCCAGAATTAGCAGAATTTTTGGTACAGCCAAAACCAAACAACCCCCCAAGGATAGAATTGAAAAGAAATCTAACACTACTTGAATAGGCACTGCATTTTCTCCCTCCCTTCTATCAAAGATCCATTTTATTATTTTCTCTAACAAAACTGAACCACACCTGGTACTCCAGATTCAGTAAGGCCCAATATTGAATATTTAATGTGATGAGAGGCAGTTGTCAAACCACTGGTCCAGACAGTGGACTGCTTTTTTTAAACCCAACAGTATAAAAAAAACCCCGCATTATTTTCTTAATCTTAAGTTTCTAACTAGAAGATTTCCATTGGACTACAGAGTAAAATTACAGAAGGCATGTAAAATGGATTGGACAACAGATTGTGATTTATAACATAAAATGTGATCTTGCATTAACAGATGCACAAAATTGATGTGGCCTGCTCAATTTTGTGAATAAATTACTTTTTACTTGAACAAAATCCCCCCAAAACTTGCAACAGAAGCAGGAACTACATGTAAGCCCTCTGCATGCTCTGCTGCAGCATTTCCTTTATGCTGAACTCTTATGTATGATTTAATTCAAGGAAATAACTCAGCACCGACAGACCAAGCCCACACATTTCAAAACCGCTGCTTGACTTTATTATGCACACCCTGTTGTGTCCTTAAAAACAAATGTAAATTGAGTGAGAACACCCAAACAGAAGATCTGAAGAGCAGAAAAGTGATACCCACTATTGGTGTTGGCAACAAATAAAATAAATCATGCAAGGAAATGCAATTACTTTATAAAAATTTTGCTGTAATGAAATTAAAGCGTTCAGCTACTCAGTATGCTCTTCACACAGCATTATTAAAACACACAAAAGAAAAGCTCAGTTCTTACGTAAAATTATAACTTATTGCTGAGTTATAGAAATGGAACACTTGTATTAATGCACCTCCAAATACTAACAGAAACAGAGACTATCAAGGCTGCAGAATGACTAGGAAGTGTTTAGGAAGTGCCGTCACTGTATATCTGTCACAGAAATGGGGGAAAGGAGGAGAGAAAAGATTGGTTCCCCTGTTTCAGACATGCTCAACTTCCTAGTCCTTTTCCCTAGATGCTGAATACTTCCCATTCACAGCCCATCCTGCTAGCACTTCAAATTTCTCTAACAAAAAGAAAAAAAGGAAGAAAAAAAAGCTATTAGCTACGTGAGCAATGACACAATTAAGAGACAAGAACCCTAGATTCTATCCTTGGTTTATTTTCATTTGAGAGCCCATCTCTCCGCCAGTTTTTCCACGTGTAAAACTCAAGCGTATACTCGGTATCAAAAGCACTGCACAAACCAGTAATTTATGGGAACGCACTGTACTCTAACACTGCGTTTGAGACAACCATCTCGGACAATCGTCTCTCACAGTAAAATCCATTACAAACAAGAAACGCAGATTTTTTTTCCCACAGTAAATAAAACACTCAACCCCTAGCTTTATTTTCCTAGCTAAAGAAAGGAAGTAAAAGCATAGCAAGAGAAAAAAAATCTGCACACAGATGCAGCTGGGTAAGAACATTCCAGAAAAACATGATATACATTTAGTTTCCTTCTGCACTCATCTTTTCAATAAACAGGTAGTGCATGCAGTTTACAATTACACTCCCAAAATCCATGTGTGCAGTAACACAGCCACCTCTGGATGCTGACAGCAAATCAAGTATACTTAAAATTCATTATCTCTGGGGAAAAGATATAAATGTGATCTTGACTGAGACCAAGGCTACAGTGTACACTAGTGGTAAGTACGTTCCCCATCACCCATACAAACAGCAGCATATTGAAGTAAAAATCCTAAGCTCCTAAAGAAATTTGAGCATTTGCAAACCATCTTCAGGTCAAGTCACTAACTGACAAGGGTTTTCATTCATTACACCAAGATGCGAACAAATCACTGTGATGCGTTCAGAAACGCAGTTACATCAGATTGCCACTAGGCAAAAAAACCTGGATTCTTGGTAGCTCTGCTTAGAAACCCAGTTCATACGGGTCTACAGTCTGAATAGGAAGATAAGAGATTTGCTTATAGATGTCCTATGGTTCAAGGAGAGTAACAAAACATGCAAGAGGCTTCTATACGTAGCCACTAACAATAATTCGTAGTTTCACAAATTAAGGCTTTGTAATGTTTCGCACATCAGAGCTCCACGCAACCCAACAGGATGGTTTACAGCCCTACTAGAGTATCAGATGATCCTGGACAGGGATACTTGTATAAAGCCAAGGCCAGCAGTGAGATCTTACGTAAAATGAATCCATTCTTACATTCAAATGACCTATCTCCAAGAACTGGAAGACCCTCTCCTTATAGATTCAGTTTGGTTAGCAGAACAGGCTATTATTTGGCCATTCTTGTCTTCTTTCTTAAGACAACACGGTTTATTGGGCGAGGTGGCTCTTTGGTCCATCTGCTCTGCCTTGTGCTCCTGACCCACAGCACACAAGAAGTCCTTGTGTCAGGCCACACACTTCACCAATGCTTTGCTAAGAGGAACTCATAGCTGTCTTCAGAGTGAAAAAAATCTACATAAATGGATTTATCTGGGTAGTCAGTAGTCCAACAGGCCCTCCATGTACAGCAATCTGCCTGCTGGAAAGCAACAGAACAGCTCATCACAACTGCCACTGTCTTTGTCAGCGGCTTGCATACTGGTTTTAGTTGAACACAATCACACAAACACCCTGCTTATGGGCTGATTTTAACGATGTCCCACATGCATACTTCAGCTCTCACAAAATTCATTTGCCCTTGACATTAAATGAAAGGCCACTGCTACTTTCTTTCATAGGCTTAAATAAAACCACTGCAGAGATAGGTGCTCATCATTCAGCTTCTAAACCTGAAACATGACATAACCATATTCAGATGAATTTAAAACTGAAAAATATTATTTGGAAAGATGACAAATACATATATGTACAGACACTCACACACACCTACCCTACTCTAATATTTAAGATGCTTCTCCCATTTTTGCATATTTTAAAGGAAACAATTTGAAAGTGAAAGAGAAGTAGGAATAGCAATGACAGTTTGTGGAACCCATAGGTCACACAATTAAAAGACAACGATCATCAGAAGCCATTACGTTGGAGATGCTCGTACTGCAACCACCCTACCTTTTACAATAGGCTGTTCTATGGGTCATCTTTCACAGCCTGTTCTAGAAACGTTCCTGGGAGATGCAGTGTTTTTCCTCTCTCAGTCTCTATTCTGTTGCTTCACACTTCTTTTTAATTTTCTGATGCTCCATACAGAGCTCTAAATACAGCCTCTGGTGTACTGTCTTAAGCACTGTTCTGTACCAAGCAAAACAAACCTATGGCTCCACAAAAGGGTTTGATGTCTACTAGTTTGTTTTCTAAATGGAACAGCAACTTTTCATATTTTTATTACCAACAAAACCCATTTTGCATTAGAATTTTCCTGCTAGTCCATACAGATTCTCTGAATAAAGAGTTGAAAACTGACACGTATTGAATTCCTTTTTGCTCCCACACTTAGCATTTTCAAGCACTCACATTCAAATATTAACAGAAGCTTTCACACTGGTCAGAATCATGTAGGGAAGGAAAAGAAAATGCAAATTCACACAAGAAAGCTGGACAAAGAGGAATCTTCATTTGCATCTAGGCAACACAGTGTTCCTTTCTGAACAGTGGTGGAACAGTGCGCACACTGTCCAGCTATCTATCTTCCTTCCACAGCATTGTCCTCTTTATCTCTGTATTGCAGCAACCTATAAAAATGCTAACATTCCTAAATATTTAGAATACCTAATTAAGTGAAATGCACATGGCTATATAATTGTGTCATTAAAAGGTAAATTAGCACACAAATAGGAAACATGGAACATTCAATACTTCGTTTCTTACGAGAGCTGCTTTTCAAAATGCTTTACGTCACCTTAGAGGCACTGATTTACAACATGACTGAAGCTCGTAAGTGCCCAAGCTGCTTTTAAAAGCAAATCTTGGGCTCCAGAACAAGAAATGCAATTTTGGGAACATTATTGTTGGTGCACATATTAAACAACTGATCAGAAGCTTCCCCAAAAGAACTACAATTGCATTTCTAGTGAAGTCACTATATTGTCAGAAATCACCAACCATAATGGACTATTTTTAAACCACTAGTTTAAGCCAATGGCTTAAGCCTTCCTTGAAACTAGTGACCTCAACACTAAGTGTTGCTCATGATTCAAATAACAGTCATTATAGCGGAGGGAAAATTTTGCAGATTTCCAGCACCATGAAATAGGCAATATAAAAAAAACCCAACAAAAAAACCCACAACAGGAAAAACAAAGCAAACAATTTATTTCCACCTTTATTTGGAAACTAGATGCACGCATATAGATCCATAGAGAACATGTGACCTCTCTCCCAAAGGCCCTTGTGTACAGAATGGTCACAGTTTGTTAAAAAAAAAAGTAACTTTGAAAATAAGTTTTTCATTATTAATCTTAAAGAAAAATCCTTTTGTCCTTCAAATTTAAGTCCAAACAGTGGGAACTAGCACAAAGAATCCCTGTATTTTGAAATGCTTTTTGAAGGTCTGCGATACGAGGAGACTGAGTAGCAGAGGACCATAAAGAAGCCACAAGGGGCGTTTCCTGCCATATTTTTGATAGGGAACAGACTTACGCAGTCACTTTCAAGTTCAGCCTGGCACTAGGTCTGGTCACACAGACTTCTTTATTAGGATCAATGGCAGGTAGCAAGCACAACCGTGTAACAGTCAGCCAACACATGAAAGAAGGGTCAGGCCAACGGTTGAAAACCAACGGATTCCAGGAAACGGCTCACATACATTTTGCATTTCCTGTTGGCCATCATCTTTACTATGCACTTTTAAAATCTCTTCTTTTATTGTTATACTAAGAAACCTGCAATGAATAGTAACGTCATTTTCAAGCTCTGTATGTATTTGTGGATTTCCCAGTGTGTATGCTCCTCACCTCCTTATCACCTTCCCCACAGTCAGGAGAGTCTTTAGGCATCTTTGCGGACTAAAAGTATTTTACTCATCAGAATGATCCAGTTAGATGACTAATACAGTATTTCTCCGTTACTTTCACCTGACTGGCTACAACAGTATTAGTCAGGAGTACAGAGTACTTCTGAGATTTGCACACTACCTACAGAACAGAAACTTACTGCAGTACCCAAAACAGCTCAACTGGACTTAGAGAACCTGGACTTGAAAGCGCATGAACAAGAGGGATCAGGAATTGTATCCATGTACCACGTAATCAGAAACGTCATCCCATCTCCCACATTGTCAAAACACTGTTACAGACGCATGATATGTTTTTGGTTAAAAAAAAAAAGCATTGCTTAAAGAATAATTTTTCAAATTAAATAAACCAACATTTTGTCCTGAAAACAAGTATGTCTTGAAAAACAAAAATTCATGCACCTTACCATCCATTCAGATATAATTACATCCACTTTTTCCAAAGGCAGATCTACTTCTTCAATTCTTCCTTTGACTAATGTAATAATATTGTCAAGTTTATTTAATCTGAAATTCAGAACATAAACAAATTAGTTCATATTTTCAATTTATGCTGTTAAGAGAAATATACTGATGTCTGTTTCCCCCAATAACTGTGTTCTATTTTTTTTTTTTTTTTAACTAAATCAAGAAAGCACTAAAATGTAGTATTTGTCATCATATTTCAGTGGGAACATTCCTGAGCACCCAAAAACTGTGGCAGATTAAGTGCCAGGCAAAGATAGCAGACAGTAGATCTGTATGCCCCCTCCAATGCGCTGCACATGCAAACGTGTAAGCCTCAGAAACCAGGAAAACAGAGAAGAGGACAATTTGACAGTCCTCTTTTCCTAGAATTGCTTGTTCCCAGTTCTCCTTCTCTGAGCCTCATAGCATAAGTCCATAGTGGTTAGAGCCTACTGATCACACTAGGATAGCAATGGAAATTAGCTTCCTTACAAAGCTGTTTTGCACGACTTGGTTTTTCTATTTAACAAAACTAGCTGCAAAGTCACCGAGAACAAACATCCCCCCTGCATCGGTATTACAGTTATTCCACAATAAAGGCATACTCCCTAATGTGATTTTGGCCAAAGTCATCTGCAAAGTTCAGTAGCTGCAGTAATTGGGTACTACCTCGTATGCAAGTAATGGTACAACCATCCTGTTACACAGGAAGGAAGGGACTGTGACATGGCTACAGATTTGAAACTAAAACTGCATGACGTAGATGCTTGAAACTGAATTCTTTTCTTCTTGGCAAACAGTATTAATCTTTCCTGCACATACCATTATTACTATAGCTGTTTTTAGAGAGGGCAGAAGAGTATACCCACCAAAAACATTTACTTATCCACTGCAGTTCTTATCTCTGCCCCTTCCCTCCCTAGGCTGATATCTTGCATTCTGTCTGGCTTTCAGTGCAGACCAGGATTCACATTAAAAATTCCACCTCCAAGACAACGTGAGGAAGATCACAATGAAGGGAGGGAAAGGGTCAAAGGGCTACTTGAACATGTGGGCTGTTGGAAAGATCAATTAAATACTCTACACACAACAGTCTTCTACCAGAAGTGTAGTAGTTCATCACAGATTCACACAGAGTGGAAGGGGTTGGAAGGGACCTCTAGAGACCATCTAGTCCAACCCCCTTGCCAGAGTAGGATCCCCTAGAGTAGATCACACAGGAACAAGTTGTTGTCAAGAGGTAAAACCAGAAGTTCCAAGAGAGAAATAAAGCACTAGAGAGCTATCACCCACAACAATGTTTTAAGGAGGACAAGGACATCTAAGGATTACTTCCTAACTGATCACAAAGACATGATTTAAAACAACAACAACAAAAAAAAAGACTAATTCATTACATACTAATTTTCCATTGCAAGGTATACAAAAAACCACCAGCAATGTAGTTTACACATTGTAGGAAAAACTGCTGAGATGCTATTTAGGAAGTATACTTCAACTTTCTGTTCTAGCATAACAGTGATGGATGGCAAAAATCAAGTTGTTCACTGCACTAGACATTTTATGGGCAGTTATTCACAGTAAGAAAAAGAGAAGCCAATCATTTAGTTAAAACTAGGTTTACTCTGTACCTCAGGAAAGAATCATTTCACTCGGGCGAGTTATTCCAGTTTACTTACACACAAGGGGTGCACTGTTTCTAGGATTAACATGCTGGAAACGAACCCGAATTCTGGGAGGGACAAAAAATCTTGAGCACACACTTCAACCAGAGATGGAAGCACACTGCAGCAGTCATTTTTAAACAACACAGTAGTCTACTATTCCAATAAATATCTGTTACTCCATTACGAGTTTGTCACATTTATTCCTTTAAGAAAGTAGACTTAAGACAAGCATAAATTGTTTTGATGTGAAGATAAGACTTTAATGTGAATTGAACCTTTTATAGCAGAAGGTATATATAAATGTGTAGCCTTAGCGATGGTTCGCTGCGTACTTCAAGGGGCAATTCATCACTCTTAAGAGTTTTGATGTGTTGCTTTTCTTAAAGGCCTGCCCTTCTCCTCACCAAAAGTAATGTGTTGGTTGATACTTCTACCCTCCTCTGAGTATAAACAAACACACAAGGACTTTTTGTGCACTTGTTAAAAAGATATGAACACTGCTAAGTTTGTCATATAGTACACTAGAAATAAGACACCATTTCCCACTCATTAACCATTCTGAAGATGTGAATGACTCCTGGGAAAAGTTCTCATGCCATAAACACATTTCGGTCAAAGTTGCACCTAATGCTTAACACTGTACTTTTCTTAAACAGGCATTTATTTAATTTTACAGCATCCAAGTGTGCAGTGCTGCACCTCCAATGTGAAGCATCTAACCTAAAAATCCTGCCTAGACAACTGCATTCCTGTACAATTTAGGCTTGCATGCCACAGAAAATCCCAGATTCTTTGGTATCCACCTTGACTTTCTTTTCTACAAATTGGTCTTAAAAAGCCACCAAAACGGAAAAAAAACCCCAAACAACCAAACAAAAAAAACCCACCACCCCACACCTCAGCTATTGAAAATACACATTTTCACCTACAATTCTCCTACGTCATGCTAGAAATCCTTTTTAAGTCTTCAGATGTCATTGCTTCATTTTTACATATACTCAAGCCCCCCATAATATCTATAGTAAATTAGTGAAATGCAGAGTGAATAAACGAACCATCAGATGGGTGGAAAGCTGTCTAGACCATAAGGTTCAAGAGGTGAGAAAAGGAGTATGAAGTGTAACGCGTAGCCAGGTACCAGAGGTGTCCCTCAGGGTTCAGTGTTAGTTCTGATACTAATTAACACCTTCATTACTGACCTAACAGGACAGAATGCACCTTCAGCAAGTCTGTGGATAATGCTGAATTAGGGGAGATCAGCTGGTAGGACAGAGGGTAGGGCTACTACTTCGAGGGATCTCAGACTGTAGGTACAGGCTGGTGGGAACCTCAGAGATCCAGAAAAGGCAAAGACCTGCACCTTGGCTGTAATAACCCCATGACCACAGTTCAGGTCAGAAACCAGCTCTGCTTGCTGCTCCTTAGCCTGCCCAGACAAGGGGCCTGGTGAACGAAGTCAGCAGCATCGCCCTTGTAGAGAAAGTGGCCAACAGTCTACCTCATCATATATGCAAGAGACTAGCAGCTGATCAAGGAAAGTCATCTTTCCCCTCAATCTGACACTTGCAAAATTGCATCTGGAGTACAGTGTCTAGTTGTGGGCTCCCCAGTACAAGACAGACATTGTTGTACCACAGCAAGTCCAGTGAAGGGGCCACTAACATGATGTGTTCCAGGCCACCATGACATACAGGGAGAAACTGAGAGGACTGGATTTGTACAGCCTTAGGAAGGGATGGTTAAAGGATGGCTTTCCGACGTCTGCCTCTGTCCAGCAAAAGAATGAAGAGAAGACTTCTCTGTATCAAGCTCTTCTCTGGTATCAAGGGATTAGATCAGAGGCAACAGATAGGAGCTGCAACAATGGAAAATAGAATTTGGTATTTCAAAAGTTCAGACAGAAGCACCAATGCTCAGAACTTGACTAAGCTGATGTCAGATCCACCTATTGGAGCTGGGCCTGCTCTGACTGAAGAGGACTGGACCAGACACATCCCACCCCTATCCAGGGCTCCCTCCCACTCCACGCTATTCCATGACAAGGGCCTACAAGGAAGCTGGGAGGGACTTTTTACAAGGGCCTGTAGCGACAAGACAAGGGGTAATGGGTATAAATTGAAATCAGGGAGGTTTAGATTAGATATCAGGAAGAAATTCTTCACAGAGAGAGTGGGGAGGCACTGGGACAGGTTGCCCAGAGAAGCTGTGGATGCCCCATCCCTGGATGTCTTCAAGGCCAAGCTGGATGAGGCTTGGAGCAACCTGGTCTAGTGGAAGGTGTCCCTGCCCATGGCAGGGGGGTTGGAACTAGATGATCTTTAAGGTCCCTTCCAACCCAAACCATTCTGTGATTCTATGACAGTTTATATGGCATCCAACATCTTTAACTCTCCTGGAAACAACTCTTCTCAGTGACTCTGCAGACTCCATGTATACATGTCTGTGCGCATGCTCTTAAAATAGGTTTGGTTGGTTGGTTTGGTCATCAAAGCCTGTGTTAATTCTTAGGACAATTAAGGACTTCAGTAAAATATATGCTAAACCAGAAATGATCCTTAACTAGTTACAGCATTTTAATAACTTTTTACAGTGATATTTACCGTACTTTTCTAGGAACTTTTCCTACCGAATGATGTCCATGGCCTGATAGATGATTTCAGATTGGTCAACCCCTATCACTTTCTTCGCTCCAGCTTTGGCAGCAAACATGGAGAGTATTCCAGTTCCACAGCCAACATCCAAAACCACCTGAAATGAATATGAAGTTTATTTTTACCTCCATTTATTCCCCTTGCTGTGATTTTTTCCTACATACCTTTCTACATCTGTTAGAAAATAGTATCTCACTGAAGGAACAAACTGCAGCAGCAAGCCTTACTATTACATTCAGAGATACCCAAGTCAAACTGCAGTTCTACCTGCAGTTCATACCCTTTGCTACCTTTTACAGATAGACCAGAAAGCAGACTAGCTCCAGCTGCAGATGAACTCAGTCCCACACGGAAACAATCACAAGCACTTATTTGGGCAATAACTACAAAGTTACACAACTGGAGAAGCAGGAAATTAGAGTTGAACAGCTTTCATCTGTGAATCGCTAACAAATGAATTTAGCACTGCCACTGAAAAAAACCATATTCTAACTGCAGCATCTCATTAAGAGTCTATTCAGAAACTTAATCTAGGAATTCTCTACTAGAAGTGGGCACAGTGCCTCAGAACAGCTATGGCTCAAGTTGACTACATTTCAAAATGGAAACTGGCATAGTTTTCTGTCTACCATTATTTATAAAGAAACGAGAACCAAAAAAAATTCTGATAATATGGCTTCCTTTAGTTTTCATGAAAGAAAAATAAACGTCATGACTCCGCTTGAAAAAAGCATGCTCAACATAGCAACAAGACTCATGCAAACACTTGTTTTTGCATCCCACATATTAGCAACTGTAGGAAAACTGAAAGGTTTAAAAATGTGAAGTGAATAAGAAAACAGTAACAAATATATTAATTAGCAGAGTTAAGCTGCCAGCAGTGTTGAACTTCATAAAGCACAGACTTTACCAAGTAGCCTTGCTCAGGCCTCAACATCATAATAATAATGAGTATAATTCCAGCTACTTAAAACTTCTCAGAGCTTAAAAAATAACACTTGAACCTTGAATGTGTAACAGTAGATTGCCAAGCTATGAGTTTCACATTTGACACTTTCATAGAAACACAGAATGAGGTTGAAAGGGAACTCTGGAGATCAGCTGGTCCACTACCATCCCCCACCCACCCCACACCCCCCAATCAAAGCAGGGTCAGCAACAGAGGGCTGCTCGGGACCATGTCCAAACAGCTTTTGAGTATCTCCAAAAGATGGAGAATCAACAACTTTTCGGGCCAACCCACACCACTGGTCAATTGCGCTCGCTGTAAAAACGTGTTTCCTGATCTTGAAAGGCAACCGCCTCGAGCTCGACCTGTGCCTGTTGCTTCTTGTTCCTGCCCCTGAGGATCACTGAGAGGAGTCTGGATCCACCTCCTTCACTCCCCCCACCAACAGGCATTTATACACCCTGATAAGGTCTATCACTGAACCTTCTCTTCTCCAGACACAACCACCCCAGATCTTCCAGCCTGTATCACAGATGCCCCAGTCCCTTCATCGTCTTTGCAGTCTGGCTGGTCCCACTCCAGCACATTTATCTCACTGTCACGCTGGGAAGCCCAGCAGTGGGCACAGCACTCCACAAGTCATCTCCCTGGGGCTGAGTACAACAGAAGGTTCATTTGTCTCAACCTGTTGATGACATTCATCCTCCTAATCCAGCCCAGCAGGCTGGCTGCCTGCCTTTGCCACAAGGTTGTGTGTTGTCAGCTGATGGTCAACTTGGTGTTAACCAGGACCCCCAGATTTTTTGCTAAACTGTTTTCCAGCCAGCAGGCCCCCAGTCTCTGTTGATGTGTGAAGTTACTCTTCCTTTCACTCTACAGGATTTTGCACGGCCCTTGAATTGCCCCAATGCCTTTGCACAGGACCCCCATGAGCCCATTTCTTGGTTGTGCTGGTTTTAGTCAGGAAAGAGTTAACTTTCCTCACAGTGGCTGGTATGAAGCTGGGTTTCTGAATTTACCCTGAGAAAAGTACAGAGAAGGTCTCCTTTTACCTGGTGCTGGAGAGAGTGCCTGAACCAAATTCAAGGTCTCTCAGCTTCTGATACTGCAGCTGCGTTCCCAGCTCTCTGGCTAGAGGCAGCGTGGGGGGACACACAGCTCAGACAGCCAACCCCAACTGACCGAAGGAGTGTTTCATTCCATAGTACGGCATGCTTTGTTCAGAAGTGGGGAGTGGGTCCAGGGGCCATTACACTTTCACACTTGCTAACACTCTCCTTAACCCCTGTTAGCAGTGTCAGCTGCTTTACTAACTCCTTTGCTGGTTTATCCGTGATTTAGTGGGTCTGTTAGTTTTCCTGGTCACGCTGTTGCTGAGAGGGTTCACTTGGAATCTGCTGCGATTACCCTCAGGCTGCAGCTCTGACTCTCACTTATTGGGACCTGACCATGCATCAGTCAGTGGGTGGTGAGTATATGTTTTGTTTTCTATTATTTCAATTACTTTTTAGTAGTAGCGTACATTCTCATATATATGTATTATTCATTTAGATTCAATTTGTAAATAGTTCTTATTTAAATTCTGTGAGCTTCCTTGTCTTTTTCCTCCAATTTTCCCCCTCAGCTGGCGGGGAGGGAAGTATGAGAGCAGCTTTGTGGTATTTTGGTGGCCAGATTTGAACCGCAACATTGGCCTATGGAGGTCCTTCTGCACAGCACCACAATCATGTGGTGTATTAAGCACTCCTCTCAATTTTGCAGCATCTGAAAATTTGCTGAGGGTGCCTTCTGTTGCACTGGCCAGATTATCAGTCTTATTGTTAGCCTTCTCCTGAATGTAGTTAGGCTTTACTAATGGTGTTTAAAAATTCTAAGCACTAAACACATGCTGAAATCTGAACAATCAAAGTTTCCTAAACATTACGTCAAGTCATTCATATCATGTATAGAATTTAAGCATGAACAGACCAGAACTGTAAAGACAGAATTTCTTTCCCATACGAGAGACCAAGCACAACTTATCAAAACACTTTTAAAATAACAGGAGCATTTAGTCAGAATTACTAGTCATAAAAAGCATTTGTTAAAAAGGAGAACTAACTTATTTCACTGTCTCTCCTTAGCACAGCATCCAGTGCTGCAAAAGCTGTCCTCGCAGCTTTCGTGACATTAATTTTTCTTCCAACAGAGGCATCAAATCAGTAATCAATTCCACTCTTGAGAATTATAACCCCATTTCACAAAATATTTCAAGGCAGTAATGCACCCTACTGACAAATCTCCTAGCTTACGAGCTATTGAGCCTTCTTCCTTTGGCACAATGAAAACTTGCATGTGTACTTTTAAATTCCACCTGACAAATACTATCAAATATTGAATACTCTGCACATTAGGTCTGCTTGCCTTCCCTTGCATACAGCTCTGTATGTTCTGACGATGGATCCAGAACAGTGACTCTGAAGCCAGCGTGAATAAAAATAGCCATTTATCCTTAGCAGCACAGTGTAAGTAAGCTTCTGCTGTGGTGTACTGGGAAGCAATGACTGAAGAGTTGACAGCCACCTGTTTTCATAGGGCAGCTTACAACCTGGAATCAGACTCAAACACGAGCATGATGAATTTTTTTTACAGCATCTTGTGCAGAGACTGGTCATCGAAGCCGGACAAAATTACTTATTCCACTTGCAACTATTTGCAGCTATGTTCCAAAAGAAGGCAATTCTACATCTCATTCACAAGTTACATATGAGTATGTAATGGCTACAGAAATCTCTAGGATGAAGTCTTCTGCAGACAGGAACAGAAAGTAAAAATCAATGTTCTTGCAGCTGCTGAAGTCTCACACCCCCTAACATCATCTATTCTAACACTACCCATGGTAGTTAACAAAATTGCTGAGCCATGAAAGCTGGAAGTCAGAGCCAAAAATAAACCTCTGTGAAAGACTGATCTTGATATACGGCTGCATCAAAGAGAGCAATCACCACAAATTGGAAAAAAATCAAAACCGACACCACTTTGGACAGCTGCCCTGGTCACTTAAAAACCCAGATGGAACTCATCTAGCCTTAGGCAGGGGATGGGGGCAGAGAAAAAGGCACAGGAGAGAAAATATACAAGCTGGAATACATCTGAGGAAGGGAACGACAAGCAGAATGATCACCAATTAGCCTAAGGACAAGGGTCTACAGCTAACGCATTCTTGCTGTGAACACATATGGCCTCTCACCAGCGATCTGGAGCAGCTGGACAGGCGATATGACTATCCTGTAATATACTGCAACATCACATCCTTCTCTGCAGTCTAATCAAAACTGATATTCTACTTTCAGTAACAGAAAAAAACCCCTTCAAATTCAGAAAAACAGGAGGCCAGGTAATTTGGCCAATTAAATTAATTCCAGCAGTGAACTTCTGGTAGGAACAACGTTTAAAAACTCATTTTTTTCCCCCCTCAATATGGCATCGATGCCTGCCTCAGACTTCTATTCTGCAGCAATAACTACGCAAGGCAAGAGTGCTTTTTTAACTGATTACTTTTGCACAAAACAAACCCTCTCGCTGTAAAATGGACCACATTTCATATTACTGATTACAGCCACCTTAACTACTCCTGCTAGGTAATCTGAGTTGTCCTATTATCATCTCAAGTCTATCTGAGAGATTTAAAAGGCAGCAAGCCAGATTCATTCAAGTTTTAATAATTTCTTTTGAAAGGTGAGACCAACCAAATTGGCTGGTTCTGAATAAAGTATGCGTAACAAACAAAGCTAGATATTCTGATATCATGTTACTGTGCAGAGTCTTCCCAGAGAGCATGGGGAGGCAGTGGGACAGCTTACCCAGAGAAGCTGTGGATGCCCCATCCCTGGAAGTGTCCAAGGCCAGGCTGGACAAGGCTTGGAGCAACCTGGTCTAGTGGAAGGTGTCCCTTCTCATAGCAGGGGGATGGAACTAGATGGTCTTTAGGGTTCCTTCCAACCTAGACCATTCCATGATCCTTTCTACGATTCAATCACAACCCTTTGGGATACCACAGGTTTGCAGCAGAAGCTGGTACAGCAAGTTAAGATCTTGGAACAAGCTCCTCCCAACCCACCTCACAGGTGTCCTTCCAGAAACAACAAAAAGCATCACTGTGTATTTTCTAGGGAGGAATACCATGTGTAAGTTCAAGGAAATATGCTATCAGACTTTTACTCACTTTTTTTTTTTAAATGGTAATCTAACTTCAGGGAAAAACAGCCTACTTCCTCAAACTGGAAGTTTCCCTCATTAGTATGGTTCTGAGAGCATCATATGATACAAAAATTAAGCAAAACATCTTAACACTTCCTTCAGCAGAAATCTATAACAGATGTCACTTCAAAGCTGGATCTTGGAAAAATAATCCCATATATTCTCTGTAACAGCACACCAAGTGAAAGCTACTTCAAGATTTACTCAGACACAGAGGTGGAGCACCGCTCACCTGGATGGAAGCTGGTAGGAACTCAAAGCAATTGAGAACCAATCTTTCCATTCAACCTCAACACACTATCAATTTGAGGTAACCTTGATCAAAAAAAAAATTGTAAAAACACCGTGTTCGAATGTGGTTTATTGATGTTGCCATAACAGACTTTCTTTAGAAGGTGAATGCTTTCACAGGAAGTAAAACCAGAGTACAGCGCACAAGTTTTCTAGCTGTTTCCTGAGCAAGCGCATCTACCACTGGGCCTGAAGCAACGTTACCTGTAACCCTTCGTGCTCGTTTTGTTTTGAATGCTACCAGTATGTCCATACGCCAGAGGAGAAATACAACCCACTCTGAAAAATTCCTGTTCCACCAGGACACGTGTTCTGCGTAACTGATGAGTCTTACCCTGCGAAAACCTGCAGTTAACAATTTTAGGGACATCTGAGAAACTGAATTTCTCCCGTGAAAGTTTTCTTGCCTTTGTTGATATTCCTGCTTTGCTGGATAAGCCACCCAGCTAAGCAGTCACACACACACCTTTTAAGTAGCTGGCTGCATAATATTTCTGCAACACTTTCGCTTGTTCTCTCATAACTAAAGATGTTAGAAATGTTTAGTAGAAACAGACTTGTGACAGGGATTGAAGTAAGAGAGGAAGAAATCTCTTCTACTAGTATTTTTCTGCTGTAGTTGCCAAAGGTAAACTGAAGTTAGACATGTAAAGAGTATGCACTATCTACCTTTAAATACCTTCCACCTAGGAAAGGACCATATCAGCACCATTTCCAACTGAGGAATTATCAGATGGGTGCACTTTTATTACTTCAACAACTATTCTGAAGTCTTCTATTATCACTTATTAACTAAGTCTCAATCAAAACCAAGATAATCAACAGTGATTGCCTTCCATAAACCTAAACTTCCTGGTTTGCATTAAGAAATAACCACACACAGCTGAAGCATGGTAAGCACTAAGTAGAGGAAAGCTAACCCAGAACAGAAGGCTGCACTGCCTAACTCGGAACACAACCAACTCCGAAATAGCCAGCAGAAATACAGAAGGCAAGAAGAGGATTGTAATTGTGCAGGGGCCCTAACCACAGCGAGATCATAAGCTAATGTCAGTGTGATCTCTCCTCACTGCAAACGAAATACTAGTCACTGTTCTTAGTCCTTTAACAAAAACCTAGTCCGGAGAAGCTAAATGACACTAATTCAGTAAATCAGCTGGACATGAATTCTTCCACAGTTCTAATTACAAAGTGCTTCGAGGATGTTTTTACTCTATCAGGCACAAATTGAAATTCACTTAAATTCTGGTAAAGAGGCCCTCAAAGATAGACTCCACTTAATATACCAGACAAGAAAGGCTCAACTTAACCCCGCGAACATAATTAATGAACATCCCGACACGGCACACAGAAGTGCTGATGGCTGTTGTCATTGTTCTGTTATCAGCACCCTGCACCCTCCAGCAGCTGAATAGCACTCCACCACCTACTAAAGCCAGAGTACATTAAATCAAGTCTTGTCAGGGCGATTTTCTGTTCCCACAGCTACCAAGTGGCCAACCTGAAGGATTTCTAGCACTTGAGGGAAAAATAAAGCACAGAAATTACTGTATTTTCTGAGCTGTTTTACCTACCTTGTCCTTGAAGATATGTGGGTTTTGATAGATGAAGTCACGATAGCTTTCTGTACGCACTTTATCCTATGATTTAAAGGATAAGACAACGCCAATGTTCACTTTTTACACTTATGCACAGCATATAAAACTCAAAAGAGCTGAAAAACTTGCTTTTTAGCTTAGTCTAAGTATGCTTTGTGGCAACTGTACGTGTAAGAGCTCTGCAATCATCACACTTCCCATACTATATTCTTTCAGAATTTATTGTCTTTGCAAACGAAGTCAGCTGTGCCTCTGGAGGAAAAATAAGATATTAGCTCATACTTTTCTGACCTGCCACATTTGATTTTTGCTGTTTCAAAGTTCTTAATACCTCTTCACCACTTTCCAGTAACAGCAGCAATAAGAGTGGCAATACTGCATCAAGTTTACATATAACAGTAAAAATTTGAGTCACAAGCTCATGTAATGTTTTGTATCATTTTTTTCTTTGACACTCCTGTGAAACACTGATTCCTTCAAAAAAGTTATAGCTCAAATAAACCTCTTCTATTACTGAACTAACTACACATTTGCAATCCTGAAGACAACCAGTAATTGAAGCCGTACAGCCCATTCTACAAAAGCCCAATACAATAAACTTAACTGTAATACACCATGACCTGAGAAGCTGGAATGTTTTCAAGAATATCACTAAACGTTTAGAGTATCTTAGTATATGAAAGCTAGCAGCATTTGAGCCAGGAGCAAAATCTACCAGCAAGGTAATACATTAAAACATTGATTATCTTAATATGCATCAGCAGGTACGCAAATTGACAACCAAGTATAGGTTTTGGAATTGGTGCTGCAGTTCAAGTTTAGAGCAACATAAAAGAAAAATTTTAAGCATTTTTTATCTATTAAAGACAAGTATATAAGTAATACCACAGCATAAAATCCAACTGCTTATGTTTAAGGTAATATTTTTCTACTATGGCAGGTAAGAATTTTTAGAAACACCACAAACTAAAGAAGTTTTCTCTAGCGAGGAAGAACAAAGTCTATTGTATTAGAAAATTAAGATCAAAACCAGAGTGAGAACAAAGGGTATGTTCATAAATATTCTGGAAAAAAAAATTTTGGATTAAAAAAATCCTAAAATCCAGTTTTAAGTTTAGGAGGATTATCACATACACAGAGCCCAAACAAACAGTTAGGGGTGATTTTAGAAAATTGTACTTTAAAATGAAACATAATATAAAGAAAAAATTTGGGATCCTTTAAAATCACACCGGTTTACTATGAAGTTATATTCAGAACAGCTATTTTTAGTACTTCACCTCTACTGCAGTATATAATAGGGTTTGTTAAAATGACCAAGAAAGTGGAAAAAAAAAATAGGAGGTTCAGCATCAATCGAGAAAGCAGTCAGCTGGAAAGCTTTCAGCCTTACATCCTGCCCACTCGCACTGCCTCAGCACTGCCCCAACTTAATCAATACAATTCTAGCTGCTGCCTCTACTGTATGCACTGCTGCTCATCTAAGCCAGAGTCATTCACTTCAGGGCTCTCTATTCATCAATACCATTCTCTCACTGGCCCATTCAATGTAATGGTTTTGTTTTTAAATAAAATGGTAAGAAACTTTATTAAGATGATAGTTAAGAAATTATCAAGCAAAAAAACAGAACATGAGAAATGCTAGTCATTTGGGCCAGTGTAAAGTAACAATACTATTTGCCTATTTCTGAAGTATTTGCAGAAAAAAGCAAAAATTTGAAACTTCACCCTAGCACTGTCAGACAAAAGGATAAAAAAAATGGTTTTGAAATGACAGTGCCAGAAACAGGCTTAAAATTTTTAAGGAGACTCACTGTCTGAATTTCAGTGTAGCCAACCACTATATTTATACAAATAAGGCAAAGTGAATGCCTAGCATATGGGGGGGGGGGGGAAATCAATGCACAAATTATAAAAGCATCAATTATTTTCTTATGTCTAGGAAAAATCAAATTTCTTCTTAAAAGCTAACATTCCCCAAAACAAATAAAATATGATTTTGTGCCTATCTCCTTATGCAGAAATGCTCAATTATTATAGACTTTGAGCAAACAGAGAAGCTTCCTTATCCTATAGCCTGTAACACCATGGATGACATCCTTATACAGCCGCAAATCCAAGCTTCTAACATTTTTATTTGTCTTCAAGACATATATTTCTGTAGACTATACATTTTGGAAAAGACTGTTCTACCTCTGCAGGCATCTCTGTGCATCTGTAAAATCCCCACCCCTTAAAATTTACCTTATGCTTATACTATTCTTAACACAGATTCATTTTTATTTCTACATTGGGGCCACTAAACGATTTACAAAGCAGAAAACTTGATATGCTATCTGTACGGACCAAGTCACTTCACAACTCCATATTCTGTCTTTACATCAGGCAGCAATTTAACTTTTTTATACCTTAAAATGATAAAACTGTTTATGACTCTCATGACTATGATACTTTCTCTGAAAGGAAACATTAACAGATCTTGATTTACATGCCAATTATAAGTTGTTGGTTTTGTGGGTGTTTTTAAGTTAAAAGGGCATACATAGGTTTGCCTTTGAAGAGTTTTAAGCATTTTTAGAAATCTTTATAATATAAAAAGATCATGTAATTTTTCCAGCTGTTCAACATCATGTTACCAATACACTGAACTGCGCACAAATATCAATAATTTCTGTTTATCTAACACGATAGAAACCCACAATATTTGAGAAGTGGTTGTGCCTAGCACGTTTCAATTGACAGTAAAATATAAACTAAAGAAAAATATTCACTGTCTGTACCATGTTTTATCCTTTATCTTTTAGGCACCCAGGAGAAAGCTGCTTTTTGCAAGGTAAGATTGTGGTACAGATATGGTAATCTATCTTCCAGCATATCTGTAAATGATTTTATGTTCCTAATGCTTGCCATAAAGTAAACAGAAAGTATACAAAGGAAATAAAACTGGAAAGAGATCTCTCAACCCAACTCCTAGGAAAAAACAAGCGTGTATAGAAATGGTTAAAAATGCAGCTGCTCTGCAGTATATTTATGGGCACACAGCCCACTTCATTCCATCGTTCTTTTTTAGTCCTACAAAGATGCAGTTGAGATGACTTTCTAACCTTCAGCATCTCTTCGTGTATCCCATAATGCCCATAGGAGCTGAAGTAAACACCATCCTCCTCCTCACGAAGGTCTGCAATGGCGCCGGATGACGAGCAGCTTCTGACATCTGCGTTCATCACAAAATCCTGTGCAAATTGTCTGTAATCAATTTGAAACATACCCTTGAGACATGTTTATGGGACCATGAAAAGGAGGTGGGGGGAAGGGGCTTGCAGGAGACAGGGAACCCAGCCTGCACAGGGCTTTGTCCAACAATGGGACGGGCCTGAAGCGTGCACAACCTCCCTCTGCTGGCTCCTCCACACTGCTGCACCCCCTTCCCCCCACCCATGGCCGCCTTCCCCTTTCAACCAGCAAACTGCCGTGTTCACCTGTGCCACAGCAGATAAAATGCAGATTCGTCTATGTTTTTCAGGAGGAATTACTCATTTTGTACAAAAGCTAGTGGTTGAAGTCCGCAGGGAAACGGCCTGTGGTTTAGGCCTGGAATGCAGATGTGGACTCCATATAACAGCCAGTGCTTGACTATAAACCGTACGGCACTGCATGAAAGGCTGAGGAAATGACTTGGAAATTGAAGCATTTGGGTGGAAACAAATAAGAGCTTAAAATTAAATTTAATTCCGTTTTTATTCACATGCTGCTACTTATTTTTCCTTCTCCGTGGCCTTGCATTCTTAATGCACATGTCCTCTTATCATTTCTCAAAGCAGTTTTGATGACAAAATACACAAATCAAGCATTCTGTCGTGAAAACATAATTAAATATTGATAAGCAAACAGCTCATACTACACCAACAATGAAGTGAAAAATCAGACATGCTTCAGTCCAACAATATTCCTTCAAGGTCTCCAGTCCAACATCAACAAAACTTGCATCTTAGACCACTTCAAAGCAGCCTAAATTCACCTTGAACATTGGTCATACCTTCTCAAATAGGGACTTCACATAGAGAAGCTGTAGCTACCGTCTCATTACTAGTACCGTCCTTGTAGAACAACAAACCCAAAACCGCTATTTCAGCCCTGCCATATCAAACACTTCTCTGCCTAACTAGTTTGGATGAGGAAGAGAAGGTGGTAAAGGAATATAAACATAAAATATCTAAATAAATATATTAAAAATGTGTAATATATAGATATGTTAGGTATAATTATAAAATGTCAATTTTATTTCATAGTTATTTAATAATTAGCAGGTGTCCTCATGGTATTATTCCAGGGCTCAGAAGGCAACAATCTCCTAGGGAGCTGCATGACTGATCCTGAACAGGCAGCACAATGCAACTGTGTTATAACTGAAAGAAGTTATACCTACTTAGTCTCCCAAGAACTCTCTACAGACAGGTAAAAGCATGAGAAAGCTACTGCAACTATTTTTTTTTTTTTAAACTCCTGAAGTTAAGGTCAGCCAACCAGCTTGCTAAATACAGGTATAAACCTATTTCCGTAACAGAAACCAGTAGAAAACCAGGTTATTGTAGATTAAGGTCCTGTATACTTCTCTCACTCCACATCAGACTTGAGCTTCCTTGATTCCAGAGGTTCACCTGGAACACAACATCTGTGCACAGTCTCTTTCAATGAGGTGATCTCCAGCATGAATCAGTACCACTATTAATTACAGCACACAGGCTACTACACTGCAACTACTTAATCCCTCCATAATTTAAAACAGTGCTGCTTCATCAGATCTACATCTGGCTAATTTTGCTGCCAGCCGAAAAAAAGCCTGGTTGACAAAGAACAATTAATTAAAGGCTCTCTTTCACAACTGCAGATAATTTGATATGCTGACCTCAACAAAAAGGTATATAAGTCTGACTGAAGTTTAGAGAGCTGAAAAGAAATTGAAACTGATGACCTGAAACGGCTTTTCTTTCTTTGAAATGAAAAAAAGACAAGACAACATACAGGAAAAAAACCCCAAGTTTTCCAAGTACGGTGACAATTTTCTCTCATTCATATTCTTTATCATCAATTAATGCATTATGTACACAAAAATATCACAGAGTACCGTTCACCATAAAGTACAACCTGCAGAAGTTAAACCCAGCTGAAGACAAAACTGTTCTTTTGACAGGTGTAACTGTACAGCTATGAGGATGTCCCGATTCGTGACTGCAATGCACTGAGGAGTCTTACTAGCAGAACCCATACCCAAGGTTCCAAATAAAAGTAGCTGAAAAGTTGGCTTATTCATTTCACTGAGGGTTTCTCTGAACTGTAGCTAGATTCTACTTCTAATCATCAATGTTTGGAGCTGTCTCCCAAAATGCTGAGTGTCTCATATTTAATTTGTCAATACCTACCCTCTTCCACATTTTGCAGATCTTTGATATTTAAATTTGTATTAAAAGGACTAACAGGAAAGTGTCTGAAAAACAGCGATCTGAAGCAAAACACATGCTCCTGGGCCATGTGCTTATTTAGCTTTCCTAAGCATACTTTGCTCTTTCAATCTGTGCAGGTTTTACTAACCATCTACAATTTTGAAGTGGAACCTACAGTCTCGACACAAGTCATGAGTTTTACTTTGTAGTTACATTCTACCACTTCTTTGAATTTCTACTGGTCTTGAAACATGAACACCTTATCTCACCTAAAACGCATTTAAAAAAAACCCTGAACTTCAGTTCAAACACTTACTTCATTTTTTGAAGATCATCTTGTGCTCTAGCCAAGGCCGCTTCTGCGAGTCTTGCTCTGTGTTCCGCATGTTTTAATTGTTCCAGGAGCATCATGGTATCATTTAAACCATTAGAAGGTAAAACGTTTGCAGGTTCATAAAGATCTTCTATATCTGATGAAATGGGGAGGAAAAGAAACCACTGATCAGTCACGTGTTGCTTCACAGCAGCTCATAAACACATGACGTTTTCTGTGTTGCTATTTCTATCTTTGGATGATTTGTAAAAGTAACCTGTTGTACAAGAAGCTGAATTTGATAGGACTAGCCACAGAACACAAGACTACTCAGTAAAAGCAAGGATGCTAGAAGCAAGCTCTAAGTTAACAAGGCAAGTAAATCCAGAATTCAGGCTTCTAGAAATACCAGTCTTTGATTATTGATAGGAGAGACATTAGGTTTAGACTCTAATTAAGTTAATTACAGTCCTATCCTCTATTTTTCCAGTTATGTTATTCTAAGGCCAAAAGGGCTCTTAATGGTAATGGTAAAAGGTACGGGGGTATGTAAATTTAAAATTTCTTCATAAATATACAGTATCTCTTAATTTTCATATCAATTCCTTGGGCTTTTATAAAGCTTACGAACACACAAACCTCAAACAGCGTATGGAGAATAAATATATGCGAAACATTGCTTTTTTAACTACCAAAACTCAGACTCAGCACTAGATACTATTCACCTCTTGATAAATTCAGCTAGCAATTTCAACCTGTCACTGGTTTTGGATATAGTAAGAAGCTACAGGCAGGTTATTGGGCAAAAGACTTCATAAAACCCCCATATTTCTTAATTTTAATCATGGAAGACTATTTGGCCCCTGGGACTGAAACAAAGCACAGATACTTGATATTTCAGAGGTTCAGATCACCCCATGACTCTGCAGCAACTGCAACACCACCTCAAAGCATCTCAAAACTCTACAGCTTGGGCAAAGAGCACACATTAGGCAGGAGCTGATACTATGAAACCTGAAATCCCTGAAATAACCAACCCATGTCCTCTACCACGCATTCTCTCCGCTATCACGCAGCAGGGTTGACTAAGGGAAGGGTAAAACTGCATCCCAGATGGTATGGAAAAGAAAAACAAACAAAAAAAAAAATCAATAAGCCTTAAGCATCTTACGCATTAGGTGAAAAAGATGTACAATCAAGCACAAAATAGGAAGAGAGTGGGAGGATCCTGGGCATCAAAAATAAGTTCAAAAGTCAAACTGAATTCCCTCAGGACCACCTGATGAACTGTCATGACAGAAAAAAAAAAATAAGGCTGCTTGTACTGATGGCTAGAACTGCTAAAGAAGCAGAACTTTTCTACGCCACTGTAGTACCTTACGCTGGGTTGGTCCAAAATGAGGCCTATCTAAAAGATTGAGATAATTTCAACAAGGCAAGTTACTTGCTCCTTACTTACAGCATACTTTTTTGAATGAATGCATCTGATTTTAAACACCTACATTTAGAAGCTTTAAAACCTTCAAAACTCTTTCAGTGAGGCTTGGGTGGAATGCCTGTTTGACCTGCTTAATGACTACTTACTGCATCTCCGCTATGAACACCGTGTTTACACGTGAAAGCAGACAACAGAACAGGACTAGGGAAATCTCAGCCATTAAAAACCAACATCTAACATGTAAAAATTCCAGAGGGTGACAGTGTCACGACTTCAGCTAATACGTTGACTCTCATGTACGTAAGTCAATTGAATAATAGTGACAGTGCTTCATATGACACAAGCTCTGCCAATACCATATTTACCTCACAATGCAGTACAGTCACACTGAAATGCATTTATTTACCAAACTGAAGTAGGAGATCGTCTTCTAGCCCTGGTTTCAAATATTCCTCTCCTTCCCAAGGTAGCGGGCTGCTGACAGAACTCAAATATGCTGCTGTTGGTTTCTAGACAGAAGGAGAAAAACACATAAGCCATGTTTCTTTGAAAACACCAGCACTTCAATTTCATTCAAGAACACAAGGCAAAGATCTGTTCTTCCACCCACTATAATAAACGGTGTACAGCTAAAGCAGATTTGTAGCAAAGGCTGAGAAAGATCACAGAATGGTTTGGGTTGGAAGGGACCTTAAAGATCATCTAGTTCCAACCCCCCTGCCATGGGCAGGGACACCTTCCACTAGACCAGGTTGCTCCAAGCCTCATCCAGTCAGGCCTTGGACACTTCCAGGGATGGGGCATCCACAACGCTAATACTACTACAGATACTACTCTAAAACATGACTAGCAAGAACAGTAGCTCTGACAATAAGTACTCACCTTAGCATCCTGACACTACAACCATGGTGACCAGCCAATAGCATAAAACCACTCCTATGAGCTAGTCTGGGTCCCAAAGCCAAGAAGGTGCAGGATCAAGGAATATGTGTACAAGCAGTAAAGCACAGCAGGCTGACAGACATTAAAGAATGCTTTTAGGATTACACTGCTATCAGAAACCAAGTTTACTCAGGTGTTTGACTGTGTCAGGCCCACAGCTTACAACAGGGCTCATCAATAAACCAGGATACTAATTGTGCAAAGCATTTTTACACAAACAGCCCTGTAAGAACAAATTTCAGAAATGCTGTATTCTCTCCTGTTTGCATCCAGCCAGTTAATACTTTGTCAGGTAGGGAGAGGTCAGATTCTAGACTTCAGTTTTCCCATTTCTGTTGTTACTCTACTCAGCTCGTTATTCCCTAAGTAACTATTTGAGGATTTAAGTAAAGATTTGAAAATTTACTTGAAAAAGGCTTAATTAAATAAGATAGTATTAAGCCTAAACTTTTAGGGAACAACCAAAGAACACACTTAAAAGTCATGGAATACACAAAATACACCAAAGCCTAACTTAAAACCGGAGGTTCCCATCAGCTTTTCTGTTTCCGGTATCATTTTAGCTGAGATTAATTTTAGGTTCTGTGACCTCAGGGATCACGCGTTGTCCTTTTAACAGTGCAGTTGGGGTCTGGCTAGCTCACATCCCTGGGAAAGACTCCTGCACCAACATTCATGTGAGGACTGAGGAACTTCAGTTATCAAGAGGTGAACCCATGACTGGAGTGAAACAACAGAGTCAACAGCCCAGATGAATTAGCAAAACAACATGTCTGAACAGCCTCTTCTGGAAACAATATAACTCACATTACTTAGATGCGAAGTTGTTTTCATTTTAAGCATATTTAATTAAACCAATCAACAGCTATTTTAATTCCTGTAACTTTATATTCCTAGAAATAAAATACAAAGTTTCAGGCAGTTATTAAAGAAGGGTAAATTGAAAGCAGAGCATCTTGATTTCCCATTCTCCAGACACAGATTACAGAAGTTCCATGTAGCACACCTACCTTTAATCTTACAAAGTTTATTAGTTTAACGTATCCGTAAAAATCAAGTCCTGAAAAGAAAGAAAGGAGGAAAAAAAAATTGAAAAAGAGGGAGAGCTTGTGTTACACAAAAGCCACATGCATTTTACAATTATATGAATACTAATTATTTGTACAATTGACCAGCTTCCCCTTGGCGTGTACATCATTACCTTGTGCAGTCTTCCTATCTTAAGTTTGCCATCTACATTTTTCTTCTCCTCAGGACTAAATCAGGAAATTCTCACCCTCAAGAGAACTACACTTGCTACAAATTAAGAATGGAACATGGAAATGTAGATTATAAATAAGGATTGCATTCATTTGGCAAGCAACTACATCAGGTGAGACACATTTGTCTCCTACTAGCTACCTTGCTGATATTTTAGACTATTGTGCTCCTCTGATCATATTTTTAGCTTTCTGCTTAATAAAACGGGTATTGATACTACTCTTCAGGAACACACAGCAACACATTTAAAACTGCCACCTTGCTCAGAAATAACAGTAGTTGGAATACAATTATCTACTTTACTCAGGAACGGTGAGCATACATCATAACGGCAAAATACCTTCCATCTGATTTCACAGAGAAAACAGACCAGACCTTACAATTTTATATGCAGATTTCTAAATGCTTCACATAGTTCCCATCCTCTTATCCCTCTTTCCTTCTTAGTGCATGTTCTTAACACAGTGTTTCTTTTAATACTGTTCCGCTTCCCCTGCTTTCCTCTACATGCAGCAAGAGACGGGTTTCAGGCCCAGTAGTTCAGGACTTACCTAACTCTTTCAAAGCCACCCCCTGCTTCACATATATCCTCCTATACGTACCTTCCTTCAGTCACCATCTTGGCCTAAACAGCTGGCAACTTCAAGTGAAAGCCAACCTCCCTATTCCTTTGAAAAGAATGGAACAGACATTCCTGCGATCACAAGGTGACAAGCCAGCACAAACTACCAACAGTACCAAGCCAAGACTCCACCACCACCACCCGGTTACTTCACCTGGTGGATATATCCACTTTAGTCCCTGCTAAGCTCCTCAGCCCTAAAACAGTATCACTAGTGGGGCAAGAGTTCCCAGTAAATCAGGTAAGTAGCTCTTACACCAGCATGCACTGGGCTGGCTCAGGTCAAGCAAGTAGGCAGAGGGAACTGCACAAGCCAGCAGAGATCCATCTCACTTTGCTTACTAGTTGAGAACTTCACCAGCAGATAAAGCACAGGAGAAACAGACAACATAAAAGTAACATATAAACATTTTTCTAGAACATCTTATCTTGTCCGATCTTGGAATCTTCAGCTACAACCACAGAAACAATTAGACACATGTTGGTCCTAGTAATTTATTTTAAACAAGATGCTGATACGCAGACAGAAACAAGAAGTCGTGAAAAAATCTTACCGTGTTTCTTGATCACATCGCAAACGTTAAACTGATGCTCTGTTTTGCAGTGGGAGAATACATCTTCAGCAGAATTAAACAACCTGCACATAATTAATTATTAAACATGCAGTATTAGCATATTTTGAAGTAAAGACTCCTACGAGTTTCATGTGCTGTGTTCTGACCCGCAAGGCAATGCATTCAGAACACATCATTTCTGCCTTTGCAAAAGGATGAACAGGCATCTGGTTACTCACATACCTCACAAGGAAGCTTCTGCCTTGCTCGCAAAACAATTTGCAACAAAAGCTAACAGATGCAAAAACTTTGACACAGCCACGAAACCTATTAATTTTCCCAAACTCATTTACAGCACAGATGACGTTATACCCCAAAAGTTTGTATGTACAAGTGAGTTGGCCAGCTCTGTCTGCGGCACAAAAATGAAAAGACTCATCTATTAACTGACAATGAGAGAAAACAAGGGATTGATGACAGAGATGAACTTCCATACTACTTCAGGGCAAGGAGGAGGGCATTACCTGCCTTCAGCGTTATCTCTGCCCCCTTTATTCTGGATTTATCGAATCTTGGGCTCTGGAAAGGCCGTTTCAAGGATCAGCAAGGTACAGAGCAGTGTCACGAGCTGGGTATCACTCATTCCGCTGACCCCCGCAGGCTGAGTCCGGGCGCTCGCACCGCGGCCCTCTCCTCCAAAGGGCCCCGCGGCTACCACCGCGCCCCAGAGAGGTCCCGGGGCGGGGGGAAGCACAGGGACACCGACAGCACAGCGCAACCCTGGGGGTTCTCCACACCGTC